CTGGCAGGACCACGCCCAGCCTTGTCCCCCAGGTCCGAGTGCCCAGCTCACCCAGGAGCCACTGACCCTGAGTCTCGGGTTTCTCAGGGACCCTCTGCTGGGGACGGTCCTCCTGGGTCCCACAGAGCAGCCCCACCAGCTCGAAGCCCACCTTTCTTTCCTGCAGCAGGCCCTCCTGTCACACAGGGCCCCGGGCACGCAGGACCGGCTGGGACTGGTCTATTGATGGTCCATTAGCATTTCCCCTTGGAGTCCCCGTCCAGACTCAGAACTCCAGGGGGAGCGAGCTGTCTAATTTGGTCATTTCTGTTGTCCCAGCATGTGTCTGCTTCACATAGGTCCTCAACACACATTGGCCAGAGGGCTAAATGGCAAACAGTAGGTACTTAATACATGCTTGTTGAACGGCTGGCTTCTCTCACTGTGCCCTGCACACAGTGGGCACCACAGACGGTGGGTGGGAGCGAACCAGCTTAGCTTTGCAAACTCACTGTGCTGGGAAGTAGGGCCCTCTGTTAGCCACTGCTGCCTGCCCCCGGGGTGGTGGCCACTTGCTATGGGGCCTCCCCGACTCATCTCCCTGGGACTCCGTCCAGTCTTGTGTTCTGCACCGTATATGAGCGAAGCAATGGAACTTTTCTGACCAGATGATATCGGGCTATTAAATGGATCTTTCTGGAGTACACCCTCCAGATTCTGCTACCCTACCCTCAGGGTGGATGCTCCCTGGGGCGGGGTGGGGCTGGGCTTGGGGTCACCCCCTGGGCCTGGAGCCGCAGCTTGGTCTGGCCAAGATCTGTCATCTCCGTGCCCGTCTGAGCTCAAGGTCCTGGTTCAGCATCATGGGGGCTGCTCGGTTGCAAAGCCCAAGCCTGGGCGCCTGGGAGCCCTGTGACCAGTCCTGGGGAGGAGGTCCGAGCCAGACCCGGGAACCCGCGTTTCTGCCAACTTTCCAAATGATGCCCGTCCACAGTGAGAGCGGAGGATCCCGGAGCAGGGGCGTGAGAACGTGAGGGCTGTCGCTGCCCCTCCTCCACGCTCCTGCCCGCCCGGCCAGCGTCTGCGGATGTGGGCTGGAGCAGCCCTACGTCTGGGTGGCTGCCCACAGGCCACATCAGCAGCTGGATCACACCCTGACTGGCCCCCACGCCTGCCCAGCGGCTGGGCCTTAGGTGAGCTGGTGAGTCCAGGGGAATAAGGAGCTGAAGGGAGCCAGGGCTGGGCCCCGCCTGGCCAGCATCCTCCAGAAGCCTCCCCACTGGCCAGGAGGGCAGCTCTAAGGTGGCCCTGTGACCGACCTTTGGGAGCAGGGGAGCAGACCCTTCCCCTGAAGCCTGCGAATGACACCACGGTCCCCATCAACAGAGAGGTACGGTCCCAGCCCCCCCTGGATGGCCGATCCGGGAAACGGTGAGACGGACGCTGGGTTGGTTTCTCGGCCGAGTCTTGGGGTGACACTTGAGCAGCAGTCGAGGACGACGCCCACCGCCCCGTCTGAGCCCCGCTCCGGACGCAGCTCTTTCTACGTCTCCAGCTTTAGGCTCTGGCTGTACCCAAGCAGGCCCCCTCGCGGGCCAAGCTGCTTCACACCCCAAGGACGCGTTCATGCCGCTCCGCCCCCCAGAAGTCCTGGGCCACCTACCAACAGAGCTCCCCCCGAGACGGCGCCCAGGGCACCTCCGCTGTGCAGCCTTCGGTCACTTTCTGTGCCCATGGCAGCCTAAACGGTTCCTATTAAAACAAGTCTCAGGCCTCAACCTGTGTCCATTTACACGTCCATGTCCCCCAGCGACTGAGCGCTCCAGGGGACGGCCACAGCTGGGCTCTTCTCTGCATTACCTGACTCGCAGGACGAGGTCCAGCACAGAGCAGGCCCGTGAGGGTTTGATGACTGAATGAACAACCCACACGGACTGGTTTCTGGTGTGCACCTCCCACCCTGTTATCTCTAAGGTTTGTTCTTTCCGAGGATATCAAGCCAAATCCATGCATCTGCTCAGTGGGAAAGCGTGGCCTAGCCCGCCAACGGGAGGCCACGCCCCTGCACCTCCACGACCTATGACCGCCATGTAGAGCTGATGACAGACTTCACCAACCCTTGGCACCAACTGTCACCACCTGTGCTGCTGTCACTCACCGTGTTTCCTTAACCAGGATCCTGGTTAAAAGGGCTGGCATTGGAGCACTCCCCGGTGAGAATCCCAGATCCCCCACCGAAACCTCTGCCTGACCCCCCTGAGACTCGGTTTCTTCAGAGAACAGAGAACCTTCCATCGCATCATACAAGGTGGTTACAAGGCCCAGTTCACGGTGAGAGTGGAAACTGGGAGTGATCCCAGGGCCCGCTTTGGCCACTGGGATGAGCAGAGAAGCGAGGCTTGGCCACTGCAGCTGGCAGCCTCCGAGCCGGATGTCATGTGTTACACTGGCCCTCCTTTGGTACTAGTGATGGTGACATTCCTCACAGTGGCTCCTCCACCCACTTGGCTCCCAGAGGGAGGAGTCTCAAGCTGACCCACGACGCACGTGCAGCACTGAGTGAGAAACACACTTTCTGTTTTGTTGCGTCACCTTCGCTCGGCCTATACTGACTGATAGAGCAAAAGCTCAATGACCGTCCCCTCCTTAACCTCTAGATGGCATCTAGCAATGACATTCATTTTCTTAAACGAGAAACTGTATCACTTTTGCAGTAAAGAAAAAGAAACACCGTTGGCCACCATAAATAATCACATAGTAACTAAAATGAAAGGCCTCCATCTTCCCACCAGCCCACGTCGCGGGGCATACCTCCTGTGATCTGCGCCTGGACCGTGGTTCTGAGAGTGCTGTTTGAGCAAAGCTGTGGGTTTGGAAACCCGCCATAGAGAGCCCCAGGGTCAGCTCCAGGCCTTTGCCCTGGCCAGCCTGGGCCCCGACTGCCCAACTCCAACTCCCTGCCTCGCGGGCCCCGCTGCCGCGGCTCTTACCTCGGCAGACGGTGCCGTTCTCCACGGCCTCGAAGCCCGCTTTGCACATGCAGCGGCCGATGGGCACCAGCCACTCGCCGTCCCCGTTGCAGTAGAGCTTGATGGGCACGTCCACCTCCTCCGCGTTGGCAATGCAGCTGCCCCGGGCAGCCACCAGCGACGTGCTCTCAGCCCCTGACAGGGTCTCCTGGAAGATGGCGCCGTTCTGGATGACGCGCGGGCACTTGCGGTAGAAGACGCGCACAGCAATGAGGGACATGCAGCCGCCGTAGTCCTGGAAGGCCAGGTAGAAGCCATTGCGGGCCACGGGCCCGAAGCTGCGCACCTCGGTGTTGATCTTCATGACCCGGCCACCCAGGTCCACCTGGGAGAAGCTCTCGTCGGCGGCAATGGTATCCACCTTCACCCAGGGATTCTCCATCCAGTTGGGGAAGGTCTTGGTGGCCGAGTCAAAGTCGGCCTCGTAGTAGTAGAGGTTGAAGGTCTCCTTGCAGGAGCCGGGCACGCTGGGGATGCTGCTGCAGTCGCGCACGGAGAACTTCATCTCCACGTGGATGCGGTGGGCGCCGCGGCGCCGGATGAACTTGGTCCGCAGCCAGTTGTTCTGGCTGGACTCAAAGACGTTGCACACCTGGTACGTCCGGATGGTGTTCATGTTCTCGTCGTAGCCGCTCACCTCTTCCCACTGCGGGGGAGAGGCCAGTCAGGGGGGGAGCAGGGCTCAGCCCCGGCGAACACCC